TGAATGCTTATGCTGAGCTGTGTCCTTGAATACTTGACCTTACAAACTTTGCTTTCTACCCAATAAAATTAAGCCAATTGCAAATTGCACCCTCAAAAATTCTGTGCTTTAACATTTGGGAAACCACAGTCAGCTACAGTACAAGAACAATTCACTGATCACGTTATTTTCAAAGTGATCATCTTTTTAGCAAAATTTACTGAATTCTGCCCTGAACAAAAAGACCTTAAGAGAAACACTGAATAAGCTTATGCTGGTCTCCTCACTGCTGTCACCACTACCACTGTCTTGCTGGTGCCCAAGTGCTCTCCTGTAAGATAACTAGTGCTGGCTGCAGTTTCATCGTGTGTTGATTCAGCTCCTTTTTGAAGCATCACACCCACCCATCGTGCAGTGGCTCAGTGTGCTGAGCACTTTCAAGCAGGCCAAAGTGCTTCCTTACAGAGGAAACTAAACCAGAGCTCCACTTCTGGTATAAGCTTAAGGTGCTCCTCATGGAAGCATCAGGGGCTAAACTAACAACTGGTCCTTCAAACAACATGTGGCACAGACATTTAGACCAGGGAACCAACTAAATCCAGTGCACAGTCCAACACGAGAACTGCATATTGCATGAGGGGTCCAGCACCACCTGCTTCAATCCACCGATCCATGTCTGTTCAATCAAATTACCTGCTCATGTGGATATAGTCCCTGTAGTGAATCAAAGAGCAGGCTGCTCTCCCATGCAGTCTAGACTTAAATTTTTAGCAGTGTGCAATAAGCAAGTACTATTAACAAAAAGGGGCTAGAAATGTCAAGACAATTGCATAGTTCATTTCTCATTCAAGCCTAGACATGTAAGATCTTTTAAATAAAATAAAGTGCATACATGATCTCTGTGACTATCTACACCCTTTGTTACTCTGACCTCACTAGCTACTACCTTTTAACCTGGCCCTCCAAAACCAGTAGGTTTTCTGCAAGCATCATGACAGCAATGGATCTTGGAAAAAGATGAAGAAAGAGAGAAAAATAATTTCACAAAACAGGTCAAAGAGGCCATTTCTTGCATAAGACTCTATGTAAAGACACAAATCAAAGTGCTTGCACTAATGGTGTCATTTTAGCTGACAGAAAAACCTTTCAGCAGCTAGAGCCTGCAGAGTGGGGGCAGAAAAAGCACCAGAAAGGAGCTTAAAAAAAAATCCAAACTGTAAGTCACAAAGGATCTGAGCAAGTACTGTAGAAACAAGGGCAAAATGAAGCTTGGGTTCCAGAAACTGTTTTGATGAATGCCTATATAATCTGTAGATGCCTGACAGCACAAAACTCAGAGAGCATGGCTATCACCAAGGAAATGAGAAAGTCCTCATCTGTTCCAAGCCTTCCCATGCACCCTGCTGCGGGGGAAGTGATACACCCAGCCTATGCCCCCTACCTGCCCCGCAGAGCCCCGAGGGCCGGCGCCCGGTGTGCATCCAGTCCCGCTTCATCCTCTGCAGCAGCCTGAGAGCCGTCATGGACACCTCGTGGTTCTTATCCCCGAACTCCAGCATGTGTGCAAAACGGGGAATATATAAACACGGATCTGCAACGGAAGGTGACAACATTATTTCTAATCCCACATTTGATTTAGGAAAACGCAGCGCTCAAGCAGTACTGCGAGGCTGCTGTGCTTGGCTTGGTCTACCTCTCAGCAAATAGAATGTGCTGCTGGGCCAGATCCTCTGACCACTAAGCTTTAGGGTTTTTTGGTCAAACTGAAACAAAATATTTTCTTGCTTGGTAGACAAAAAAATCTTTAAAGCACTGTACAAACACTTTCCTATGCGTTTTAAAGTGTCCAAGGCTGCACATGCTGACTCCGACATATGAGCAGTGTTATTGGTATCAGCGAAATCATACCCAAAGTGAAGCATTTGCAAAAGCTTCTGCAGAATGAGAACATGACTTAGATCCCAAACTTTTAATATCTCCTGCAAACTAACAAGATAATTTGCATGTTCCATCTCAAACCTAACTACAAACTAAGCTTCAAAAAAAAAAAAGCATTTGTTTAAAACTCTCAGTCTTAAAGAAAAGTCAACCTTCAAAGTTAATTCCAGCTGCTTCTCAGACTCATATTCCAGCAATACAAAACACTGTTTATTACAGACAATAAGGCAGACTCTCCATCAGTATAAATTGCTAGAACCCAATTAACATCAACAGTGCTATGACAATTTACAGCAGCCACAGATCTGCCTCCAGATGTATAAACTTATTTCAAGCATCAGTGTTACCAGCTTCAAACTAACCAAAATATGTCAGTACGCATTGTGCTTTGCCTAAACCAATTTATAATTTATCAAACAATCTTGTAAAAGCTACACTTAACACATGTTTACTCTTACTTGAGATATCAATTTCTCATTTCCTGCCAGCCTTTTATCACTTGACCGAAAATCCATGATGTACGGTAAATTGTTAACTATTAGTCTCAACTCAATTTCCTCAGCTGATCCCCTACGTGGGCACTCAAACTGCTGAAGATGAAAATTTAGCTTGAAACACTAGAAAAATCTTGGGGATTTACAACTAATCAAGGCACCAAGTTCTAACAATGAAGCCCTGTTGCTATCCATAATTACCAAGATCACACTGTAGGTGATGATGCCTGTCAGCCTCGCAGAAGCATTTAAATGAAAGCACTTATCAAGAAAGAACTTTCAACCATGTCTCCCTCAAAACTGAAGGAACTTCAGAGTGCAGTCACCTTCTAAAGATGGCCCTAAAAATCAAAGGTTTAGAACAGAATAACCAATCCCCATGATTCTAAGGAGAGTTGTTCTGTATTTTGAAGTATGATTTTATAAAGCTGTACTCAACAGAAACGACCAATGCCAAATTCAACAACAACAAAAAACCTTTCAGAAGGCATAGCCTGGGGTTCAACAGGCATTTAAACTTTGCTCTTCACACTACAGGAACATGTGTGATGTTACAAAGCAATGCCTGATTTGCTTTTCCATCTCCTCTTATCCAGAGAGGTCTCAACTTCAGCTCCTACGGTCTCCAGAGCAGAGTGGAGAGAAAGGAGCAACTCAGCTCTCTCTTCGGAGCTGAGTTTCATCAGCATTTACACAATTGCTGTTTGTAGCTGTTGAGACATTTCTGCTGGCATTCATGCCCACAGGTCATTTGACAAAACACTGCACATCGTTAATTTAAATTCTGAAGCTACCAAACACTCAGAAAATGAATACGCCGGTGGGTTTTAAATAGCAAGCCTTAAAAAGGCTAAAAAAAAGTAAGACTGCAAATATATAAATTCGAGGCAGGGCCTAGGTTTGCATAAACACATCCTGCGTTGATGCAAACATTTGGGGAAAAAAAAAAAATTTTAGAAGCTGTAAAGCCCAAACACTTTGCTTCCTTCCAGAAGTACCAAACCAGCACCACTGCAGCGAGGGTGCCTTGCTCCCAGGAGGGTCCCCTTTGCTTCGGGAGACCCCTGGGGCTGATACCCTTCTACACAGGGGAGTAAGTTCAAGTCGGGCAAAAACCTCATTGGTTTTCCTCAAAAAGAGTGTTGGGGGCCATGAAGCTGATCACAAGAAAAAACGCTTATTTCATGTTTTAAGAAAGAAGTGTGTGCTTTTCTGAAGACTTTTCCCTTCTCTCCTGATCCCATTCCTGACTTGAAACCCGTGACTTTTTGAAGATCCTTGATACCACGTTAACAGGGATGCAGAAAAGCATCTCGGGCACTGTTTATAGATGTTCCCCACCAAAACAGGTAACAGGGAGCGCAGCAGCAACCGAGCCCCGCTGCTGGACTCTCTCAGTAAAAGGGCACTGTGTGGGGTTCAGTCCTCGCCGAACGACAGCCCGTGGGACGGGCGGGAGGTCCAGGCCGGGAGGGCGCGCATAGCCGGGGCACGGCGGCTGCGGGAAAGAGGGGAGGACACCCCCGCAGCCTCCCCGGGCTTCAGTAACCCCTGTGCGTCCGAGTCCCCCCCAGCCAGCCCGGGCGGCGGCCCCGGCGGGGCAGCGCGGCTCCCCGGCCCGGCAGAGCGCGGTGCGGCGGCGCCCCCGCCCGGGCCGCCCGGGAACGGCGCTGCGCACCCGGGGCCGCCCGCTCCGCCCCGCCGCGCTGCCCCGCGTCCCTCCGCGCCTGCCCCGCTCCGGCCGGACCGCGGGCACCGGGACTGTGCCCAGGGACAGACCCGACCCGGCCGATAGCGGAGACACCGCGGGGCTCCCTCCCGGAGGGCTCCGGGCGCTGCGCACGTAGGCGCGGGGGCGGTGCCGGGCGGGGGGCGGCTCTTCCCCGCCGCGCCCCCGCGCTCGCCATTGGCGCGGGTGGCCGTGACGCGCGGCGTGGCCGCTGCCTCTTAGTGCGGGAGGCGGAGGCAGGGCCCGGCAGAGCCGCGCCGAGCCGAGCTGAGCCGAGCCAAGCCCGGCCGCGCAGCGCCGCATCCCGCCGCATCCCACCGCGAGGGGAGCGCCAGGGGCAGCGCCTCGTCCCGCCCGCCGCGCAGGAGCCGGGGCCGCCCCCGTGGGCAGCAGCGCCCCCGGCGCGGGCGGGAGGAGCGCGGAGGAGCAGCAGCGGCCGCGGGGAGCGGAGGAAAGTTGGTGCGAGCAGGCGGCGGGGGCCGCCCGGGAGCGGGACTGCAGGGGAGCCGCCGCCTCGGCTCGGCCCGGCCGCCGCGGATGTGCCCCCGGCGGGCCGGGAAGGACGGAGCGGAACGCTGGCGGCGGGGATCGGGCGGCTGGCTGCGCTTCACCCTCGCCGGGCTGCTGCACTCGGAGGATTTGTGGATTGACTGTCGCTCCTGACCCACCGCCTCGGCCGGATTCCTGGGGTTTTGTTGCTGGATTTTGTTGCCTTTTTTTTTTTCTCCGTTTTTGATTATTTTTATCTTTCTGTCCCCTTTCATCGGGGAAGGAACTGCCCGCCGGCCCCGCTCGGGTTCCCCGCTGCAGTCGTGGCAGTGCCGTGGAGGCTGGGACCCCCCCGCAAGCCAAGGTGAGCGCTGGCACTGATCCGACACAGCATCACCCCTTTCCTCCCGGAAAGGTGCGTCGGGCCGGTAACCAAAGAGCGCGCACACACTCCAAAAAAACCAAAGGCCACCCTGCATCTAGAAGCGTACAAAATATCCTGATAGTGGGACTCGCATTTGGGATCTGTTAGTTCTCTTGCTCATGCCACTGCCCCCTGGTTGCCTCAATGGCAGGATCATGAAGTGTTTGACTTTTTTTCTTCTGCTTCCAGAGACCTTAAAGAAGTCCAAAAAGAGTGTGAGGTCAAACGGCAAGGTGCCAGGATGCTATGAGATAGTGCCCCTGTCCCTGAAGAAGAAGATGGCTGCAGAACTTTACCCTGCCAGCACCAACACTAACATTGCAAACAGCAACGCCGCCGCCGCCGCCGCCACCGCTGCCAACAGCAAGAAGAACGCCCTGCAGCTCCAGCAGAGCGCCCAGCCGCCCCCGCCGCCCCAGCTCCAAAACCTCAACAACAACAACTTGGAGAGCGCCAACTGGCAATCTTTCCATCCCACACTGCGGGAGAGGTAAGGGCCAGGCCCGCCGGACCCTCCCCGGGCGGGCGGGAGAGAGAGAGAGAGAGAGAGGCGCCCGCCCTGTGCACCTGCGCCCCGGCCGGGCGAGAGGGCAGGGATGGGCTGGAGCCGGCGGGAGGCTGGGGCACCGGGCGAGGGGCAGCCCGCGGCTAACGGGGCTTCTCCCCCCTCCCCTGCTTGCAGGAACGCGCTGATGTTCAATAACGAACTCATGGCTGACGTTCACTTCATCGTGGGCCCGCCAGGGGCATCCAAGAAAGTTCCTGCCCATAAGGTTTGTGCAGATAATTTTTTGGCTTTTTAATGCTGCTGTGCAGATCTCCTTCTACCCCTGCTTTTACAACTAGGTTGCACTTTTTTTTTTTTTTCCTAATTGCAGCTCTTGTCTAATCCCAGAAGTAATTCACATACACTGCAATTAAAGGGAACAGTCTAAGGCAGTGTTCTGCCTCCACTGCAGCTTGTAACTTTCCCTAAATGTAGCTCTTAGCAAAGCCAGCACGCTCAGCTGTTCCTGATCCATGTTACTGAGGCTTCTCTCTCTTTATTTTCCAGTATGTTTTGGCAGTTGGTAGCTCTGTCTTCTATGCTATGTTTTATGGCGATCTCGCAGAGGTCAAATCTGAAATCCATATACCAGATGTGGAACCTGCAGCCTTTCTAATCCTATTAAAGTAAGTGGCCTCTACAAGTCTACTAATTACATGGACAAAATCAAAGTAGCTTATAAAATATACATCTCCTAATTGGCATTGTGCAATATGCACTTATTGCTGTTTACTTAATGTGCTGACAAATACTGAGTGTCAGATTCACTGCCAGCAAAGACGACTATAGATTATTTTCATGGCCTACTTCTTTTTTTCCCTAAGAAACTATTTTTTTTTTCCCCGTCTAGATACATGTATAGTGATGAAATAGACCTGGAAGCTGACACAGTTCTGGCTACGCTGTATGCTGCCAAGAAGTACATCGTGCCGGCCCTAGCAAAGGCTTGCGTCAATTTTTTGGAGACCAGCTTAGAAGCGAAGAACGCTTGTGTCCTGCTGTCTCAGAGCAGGCTCTTCGAGGAGCCAGAGCTGACGCAGCGCTGCTGGGAAGTGATTGATGCTCAGGCAGAAATGGCACTGAAGTCAGAGGGCTTCTGTGAGATAGATCAACAAACACTAGAGATCATTGTAACCCGGGAGGCACTCAACACCAAGGAAGTGGTAGTTTTCGAGGCTGTTCTCAACTGGGCAGAGGCTGAATGCAAAAGGCAAGGGCTGCCCGTTACGCCACGCAACAAGAGGAATGTATTAGGGAAAGCTTTGTACTTGGTGCGGATTCCAACCATGACTTTGGAAGAGTTTGCCAATGGAGCTGCCCAGTCCGACATCCTGACCCTTGAGGAAACTCACAACATATTCCTATGGTACACAGCCGCAAACAAACCCAAACTAGAGTTTCCACTGACAAAGAGAAAAGGACTCGTGCCTCAGCGATGCCATCGGTTCCAGTCGTCTGCGTATCGCAGCAATCAGTGGAGGTACCGGGGGCGATGTGACAGTATTCAGTTTGCCGTAGACAAACGGATATTTATAGCAGGACTGGGATTGTATGGGTCGAGCTGTGGCAAAGCTGAGTACAGCGTCAAAATCGAACTGAAGCGCTTAGGCGTTGTCCTTGCTCAAAACCTGACAAAGTTTACCTCTGACGGCTCCAGCAACACCTTCTCTGTGTGGTTCGAACACCCTGTGCAGATTGAGCAAGACACGTTTTACAATGTAAGTGCTATTCTTGATGGTAACGAACTCAGTTACTTTGGACAAGAGGGAATGACTGAAGTGCAATGCGGGAAAGTGACGTTCCAGTTCCAGTGCTCCTCGGACAGTACTAATGGAACCGGAGTACAAGGAGGACAAATACCTGAGCTCATTTTCTATGCATGATGCATTTCACCTTGATTGTATTCCAATGCTGCAATGATGCACATTAAGGGATTTTTCTGTTTTACTACGAACTCTGCAGCAATATGGAATGTTGCGCTACTTACCTATCTGCTACATCAGGCTATACAAATAAGTGAAGGAATGCTCTTGAATTTAATCTTATTTTATTTATTCATAAGCTATTTGACTTAATTATTAAGACTGCAACAAGCAGAAAAATGTTAAATTTTGCACGTACTGTGCATTTATTTTGTATATAGATAACTAACTTGCTGACTTAAACAGAATGTTCTAAACTAGAGCAGTTTACGAATCTGTGAAATATAAAACATTTTTACTTGCCCTAAATCCTGTGTACTTGATCATTGCTGATCTTATGGCTCGTGTATGTTAATTCATGTACAGTTAACAGGGGTGATGACAATTATGGTCTGGTCCTTATGTGCATTTACACATGGCAAATACGAAGGTTCCCTTGCCTGGAAACTCAAACTATCCATCAGCAGCCTTTATTTCCCTTCACAAAAAAGGGAGCTGACATTTATGGAAGCTTGGGGTTTTTTGTGTGTTGCCCAAGCTGAAGACAGACAAACCATCAGTATAATCAAAGTTGATCAAAAACATCCTGTGGGTTATATCTGAAAGCTCCTAATACCCCTTCACGCACATCATCTGCATTAACCTCCAGCCTGCCCAGCAAACAGCAACACTGCCACTTGCACCTGTCAAACTGTACCCCATTTGAAAGGCCAGAGTCAAGACACACAGATGAAGCTTAATTCAGTGACAGGCTCCATCCCAGATTTAGCCCCGAGCTGTAATACTGGCAGCCACCATCTAAATTTACATCCCATCCTTACGGTATTTAGCAGCAGACATTAGAGAAATACTTGCAAAATGGCCTTTAGGTTCACTCGAGATTGCTAATTAGAAATAAGCCACTTTAAACAAAAGCTACTGGATCTGTTGCCCCCTTCTACCTAGTCTCATGCACTAGCAGCAGTCATTTTATGCTAGTATCCTTAACTTTTCTCAGAGAGTGATAAAAGCAGATGTTTTTTCTCAAGTGTCTGACAAGCATTACAGATGAGCCAATTAGAAATACCTACTGGTTTCTATAAATCTCTCTTCTCCTAGTGACCTTGTAAAGAATACTCAAACAGCAGTCTAAACCAGTATTTTTTCCATGTATAACAAGTACCTCTACATCTAACATTTCTTGTTTGCCTCTTCCTAATCTGCATTAATTTTTACCTTGACGCTAAGCTGTAATACAAATTCTGCCTGTTCTCTGAAAAAAAAAAAAAAAAACCATGAAAAATAAGAAAGGAACTGAGTTATCGAAAACAAGAACTTTCCACCAGACAAAGCCAGCACACCAGGATGGCCAACAGCTGCACAGGTGATGCTCAGCATGAGCTGCTGGTTCTCTTGCTGCAAAGGCAGCAGTTCAGTGCCACCTGAGTACAGCTGAAGGGGGGTGGGGTGGGGAGGGTGTTGTTCTTCAACACAGACATCTGATTCTCTCAGTACAGATTAAGGAGAGTGGGAGTAAGAGTGGGTAAAGATACACGCAGATAATTCCTGAACAGAGGTGGATAAGAGTCACAAGACCTCACTGTAAACGCACTCTTTTAACTGGAATTGGCACAAATTCCCTTGGCTTAAAAGCCACAGCCTAGACAATAGCTTTTTTTAGCCTCCTGACAGGTTAAAACCCACCTTCCTATCGCTGTTATGATTTCAGTGTTGACTTATTAAAGTTATTCACATGTTTGGAAAAAGTTGCTCCTCATTTTCCATCAAGCCACTTGTATTTCAGGCACGGAACACCTCACCTACAGGTGATGGACAGATAGTAAATTTGGCAAATGTTTATCAAATGCTGCATCTGTGGAAGTGAAGCGTGACAGGCCTGTGCAAGCTTGCAGACACACACAAATTTGTTACACATCAGCCTATTGTCTTCGGACGGCCTAAACTACTCTCAGAAAAAGCAACAAAATTACTTGCAAAAGAAAATAGCATCCAGTTCCAAAAAAACTCTTACATAAAGCCTGTTCTCTTACATAAAGGAGAACAGGCTCTTACAGTTAGCAATGCTCTTCTGCCTGGATTGATTCCAGCTTCATTTTAAAGTTACCATTTGGATATTTAGCACACAGTACTATGTATATATATACACACACATACATACATATTTTTGTCAAGTAATCATGCAAAAAACACACTCAAAGAGTCAAAAGTCAACTCATAAAAAAAATACCTATGGCTGGAGCATTTATGCAGAGTTCTCTGGCCAACAGAAGGAAAGTTTTTCCCAGCACATAGACATTCACCTATTAAAAGACAAAAAAACCAATTATTCAAATCTTAAACCACAAATGTTTGTAATAGAACATTTATATGGAAATAAGAAAACCCCAATTTTTGAAATCTTAAACAACCTGCTTTAAAAAAAATTCAATTGAAGTAATACAAGTGATATTCATAGGTACAGGATAATACTTGGTGCTTGTCAAAATCTGCACAAATTAGCATTGTAAATCAAAGCATAAATTTATACTGAAAAAATATAAAAAGTTGCTCATCATGTTCATTAGTGGGTTCAGTACTGCTCTGTAGTATAGTTTTTTCGTTGTCACCGAAAATCATAAGGCATTAAGTAGACTTCAATACAATATCAGTATATATAAAGTGTCATTTATCTTGTAACGTTACAAAACCTGAGCAAATACTCACAAGTCAGTGCAAATTTCAGCTCTGCAAGATCATCTGTAGTGGCATAATTAAGTATTGCACAAGCACACACCAAACTTTTCCACCAAATCAAGGAGTGGCGCTACATGCCCCAAGGGTTATTTGTCATCTCTTACTGTTTGGACATTGCCCCAGATCACATTAAAAACATTAAGAATATAAAAAAAGAAAAAAAAAAAATAGAGTCAGAAAAGCTTTAAACCACACTGGTCCTGCTCAGGCTCCAGGGACAGAGCTCTGCTCCCCTCCTCTCCTTCACTGGTGCACCCAGGGGGATGTAAACTGAGGGGAGGAGTTACTCTTCATGCTCTGATTTGCAATTTATAGCATAGGCAACTATATTTGTATTTTACAAGTCTGAGGAAGTTTTCCTTCTCCATCTTCAGATGTGTTTTGTGGTCAGCAAGAAAGGCAGGATATACTCCAGTTCCCTATCAGTCCCAAACATTCCCACAGAGCTCCGCGAACACCTTGCTCCCCCAAGGCATATGTAAAGGTCAACGTTAGTATAAAAAAACTCCATCCTCCTACACTCCCAACAAATAGGTTTGGTGGGGTTTTTTTTAAGGATAGTATATACTCTATGGCTTTTATGCAACAGAACTGCCCCTCTCTTTCCTATGCCTGGATAGTCAAGGTGTTGACAAAGCAAGTGAGTTGCGATTATGGGGCAAGCCTTTGGAACTAAGAAACTGTTACTAAGTATAATCTCTTTCAGTTTCATCAAAGAGCTTTGCCAACACTAGTTTAAAAGCAGGCTTTACTCCCAAGTGTATATATGCTTCTACCAAGCTAGCAAAAAGAAATATATATATTTAAACAACATCAAAAATAACCCCCCAAACAACCGATACATTTTCATCCAGCACTTCAAAATGTTTATGTGAAAAAGTTCTTGACATGTATTTTTCTAAAATTTAAAAATAAAATTAAATAAAAATTTAGAAATGAAGGCTTCAAAGAAATCCTCAGAATGATCACGTGCCCTGAAAGTCACTGTGCAATCAGGTATACACGATATGATGGTAATTCATTTCATATTTAGTGAAAAGTGGTGAATACCGACCAATGGTTGGACCAGCCTAGAACTGTACTGTCCCTTTTTTGCTGAAAATAGCAGACAACATAGAAGCACCATTCTATGGGAAAGAAGTGAACAAAATATAACCTCTGAATAAGAAGTATATTTTCTAGGAAGCAAGTCACCAAGTTTTATACAGAAAAATAAGCCCCTACTGAATCTGGCAATTCATACTGGAGTCTGAGAGCGTGTGACTTTCCATCAGCCACAGAGACAGCACAGATATGGCTACAGCAAAGCATCTGCAGTGTTTCAGTTGGCTTTAGACTGACTGCGAGCTCAAAATGGCTTGTTTTGACCTTTTGTCTAAAAAAAATATTAACATAAAGAATGAGGGTTTGGCTGTAGTTTCAGCCTTCTAAGCTGGCCGACCAAGTCACTATAAATCTTAAACCTCATCACTTAGATCCTGTTCTGCAAGGACGATTTCACCGCACAAATCAATAAAGTTACTTCAGTGGAGCCAAGTAGATATGAAGTTTCCATTAGAGGCTTCACAAACTCATCTAGTTCTTTCATTTTCGTCTAAGCCCCAAAACTCAAAACGAGTATTTATCCTTCTAATCTTTTTGCTTGTCGCAACATCCAAATTACCTGATGTTTGTCCCCGCCAAAGACGTCACTCTCTAAGAAACTCCTCCCAAGCAAACTTTCCGTAAATGCAATAACAAAGAACAAATAAATATAAAGAGGCATTAAAGAAGCAGGGTTTTTTTATTTTAAGTGAAGATCTAACAGTCGAAGTGGGTGCCAAACTAAATCTAAAGCAAAGACAAATGCATAATAAATGTGCTCAATGACTACATATCTTTCCCTACTTGGCCTAAGAGCCTCCTGATCCACAGTCTATGTGAGAAGTAATACTCTAAATCTAACCTGCTTTTCCACTTCACTCACATCATCAGTGTTTTATGACCAACTTCAAGGTGTAGTCAGTGTATTTGCACAAAATAATAAATTCAAATAGAAATGGTACATCAGGGAATTTCTTTCTTTTGATCACAAGCACATTTCTTTGTAGTTTCTGGTTACTACCCATTTAGAAAGCAAGCAAAATATACAGTGGATTACATGCTCTATATTGTCTTCCTCATGAAGCTCATGAGGAAACATTTCTAATGTTAGGGGAAAATCACAAAAAGAATGAAGAATATTTAATTGCTTTCAGTTTTCCTGGCAAATCAGTAGGGAAAAAAAAAGAAAAAGAACTTATGGCCCTCTCAAAGAATATGCTTCTCAACTTAAAAAATTGACCAGATATTGACAAGTTCTGGGGCGTTTCTCGAAAATGTGAAATTAAAGATGGCATAAGGCTCACCCACAAATCTGTAATGCCAATGAACTGCTGACACACGGTATTCAAGAACTTCTGGGTTTACTGGAAGACTGCCCTTTCTCTAAAATTTTATGCCACTGTCACTAATTTCAATATTACTCACGAGCACACGCAGATCCTGTGACAGAGGAGACATGATATACAATAGGCATGTAGAGAGGGCCTTTCTTT